TTCACACAATTTGAACATTTTGAAAATAAATATTTTTCCCATTTCTCTCTCTCTATAGATATAGTCAAAAGACGTTAATGCGGACTGCGTCGGACTTAGGCGATTCGGCTTACGATTTTTTTCCGGATTATATCATCAGGTTTAAATCTCGTAAGATGGCATCAAAATTCTAAAATTAAAATATAAAACTGTATTTATGAATAAAGAACATTATACTCTAAGGGTATCTAAAATTTAAAAAAAAAAAGCTAATATTTATTTGTTTACTTTTTATTTTAAACATTTTCTTTCTTTACTGTGTTTTAAGTTGCTTCGTTTATGTGATAAACTACTCCTCCTTTAATTCTATAAACAGAACATAATTCTTTCGTTAAAGCCTCCACTGTTCAAGTTCCCGTAATTTCTGTGTCGAGATACCGACTAACTTGTCAATCGAATGTTTTCGTTTTCACTACCTCCTTCATTCTTATTCTTTATTCCATTTTTGAAGCATTCCATTTTTTGGTTTGATGACATCGAAACATACTTTCGTTTTGTACAATCCTTTGGAGCTCCAAATCGGAAATTCTATTTGACATAATCGAAAGTTCAAGTTTAACTTTTATCAAATTTCTCTTACAGTCTGCAAAATAATAGGCCGGATCCAATTCCGAAGTTAAGGACAATGCAATCATCAACATTACCTGAAATAGATAATTAGATAATTTTAGCTTATACCGTCCGTTATACGTAAAACGTGCATGCGAAAACGTATTCTGCGCTTGCGCACACTTAAAAGGTCTTATGCGCACGCGTAAACGCGCATGTGTTAACGCTGCGCATGCGCAGAAAGTTTTTAGCTTTGAGGTCCGGATTATAGATCATTCCGGATTATGGGTGTCCGAATTAACTACTTTTGACTGTATATATATATCATAGCTACCAACATTGAAATATGAAAAACAGGAACTTCTCGTCCCTCAAACTTAGATGTTTTCATACTGCAAGGCAACACTTTTTCCAAAAACTTCATACTGACATAACTTCACTTTAGAATGCACGATTCGGATTACTGAACTACTTATATTATGATTATGACATGAAATATATTAATATTTAATTATATATTCTTAGTTTTCTGTTCTTTGGCCAATTTATTTTGTGATTTCCTTGCACTTTTTTACAGAGAAAATCTTGAGTAAGAATAGGAAACATTCATTTATCAAATTGTTGCTTTTAAATATAAAATAAAATTAATCATTAATGTACATACTGCAGGATAAATGTACTATATATTAACTAAATTAAATAAAACATTAATTGAAACAACCAGTAAAAAGTTTTATAAATATCTACCAATAAAAGTTTTTAAATTCTATATTCTAATATATATATCTATCTTTATAAATCTATCTAAGTTTTTATAAGTAACATAAAAATTTTTATAAGTTTTTATAAATATTAAGACAATATTTTATAAATTCTGTCCTAGATATTTAAAAATTTATAAACGTTTTATAATTTTATAAAATATCTAAGACAATTCAAATCAAATTAAAATTTAATAAGAAAAAAATTTGCACAATTTAAGTTTCATTAATTCAAAAAATTCATTTTATTGCTAAGGAATATTTTCTTTTGTAGTTTTTTTTAGTAAAGGCTGAAAATTAAAAACTGGAGATTCAGTATCCACTAGCAGACATGATGAAAGAATTGGGGGTCTTTCGGTTAAACTGGGCAGCTTTGATATACAAGTAAATATGCATCATTATATATATTTGATTTGCTACCATCTGTGTGTTAAAAACTGATCTCATAAAAGTTCTGTGTTAAAACAATATCATGCAAAGTATGTTTTACAGTTTTGTGAGGTTTGTTGCAGTTTACTAAAAATAGAGGTCAGTTTCATATTACTTTCATATTTATTATTTCATATTTCATATTACATTTCATATTTATTATTTGTTACAGGTTTTAATACATTGCATTTCAGGAGGAAATGCTAAAAGCATATCTGTTGCTCAATATATAAATTACAAAATATTCAGAATCATATTTTAATCATAAGTAGATAAAGTAATAAGGCACATAATGTACACTGTAGATCACAACAGCAAAATAACTGAAATTAACTGACTGTTAATAAATGTAACACAATTCATTCAACAAATAATTTGATGACAGAAAATGACTGCCTGATCTTCAGCGATTTGTGATGAAACTGCCAATATTCACACTTGATATGAATTTGTGAGTACAGTCAGTTAAGTGTTGTGTTTCAGTTAACATAATTTCACTCACTAATAATAAGTTTAAATTCACCCATTTTTCCATTGTTTTTCGTTCAAATACTGATATAATCAGAAACTCAAATCCCAAAAAGCATTTTATAATGGTCTGTTAATAATTGGTGATTAAAGAATAAAATACTGAATAAGTCTTCAACATATTGCACATGAAATCATGAACGAATAAATGATATAAATGTAATAATATAAATAAAATGATAATGAATAAATGAAATACTGGCCATAGTAAAATATATGATTAATTTTTTTATTATTTTTAATTTAATTTTTTTCTTTAATAAGTTGAAGAATAATGTTTTTTCATTTTTGGTTTATATCATAAATTTTTTAAAACTACTGTAGACTCAATTAGAAAAATAAGTTATTGTAAATTTTTACTTTAGCAAAATTAAATAGTTTACTTTATAGTTTTAGATACTTATTCAGTATTGTATCTTACGAATTAGAAGATACTCTTTATTAACTGAAAGATATCTGACGTTTAATTAAATGATTGAAGTTTAATTAATTGAAAAACCAACGTTTTTTTTAAATATTATCTTTTATAATTTCTTGATAATTTCTTTTGCATCGAACAGGTTCATAGCCCTTTTATTAAAATAAGCACTATAAGCCTTTCAAGCACATTTAAGAAAAAAATAGCACCTGTCTAATTACATCATACACAACTGCATAACCTACAATTAGACTTTAATTCAAATATGAAATGAATACTTTAAGAGAGATAAGCATACCTCAACCATGGAAAGAAATTATTTTTTTGTTTTTTTTTAATTTTAATAATGTTTAATTTACGAACTATTTAACAATGAAGGAAAAAAAAAAAAAAAAAAAAAACTATGAAGACTAACTATATACAAATTTAATGATGAATTCAGTTCAAAATAAGAAAATAATAATAATAAGGCATTTTTTTATTCGCTGGAACCTAATAATAAATAATTTATTTTCCATTCATATTGATTTAAAATTTAAATTTAATCTAACATTTTCTAAATTTTTTATTGTATATCAATTTCTCTTAACGATATTGCAAGCAAGTAATAAGTAAAAAGAGGAACATTCTGAAATCAGAACAGAAATTGCTTCATGCAGTCATCATTAAGCCTTACCTAACCCGCATACTTGGAAATGGCGATATCGGACAGTCGAGCGTACTGAATGAGCGGATGTTGTGGAGGGGGATAACTGTAGCCGTCTTAGATTTTTCCGCTAAATAAGCTTTTGACATTTCAAATGTGCATCATATAAATAAACAACGGACTAAAAATATTCAGCTTAAAGCACATAAAACTCTTTTAAGTGTTCATAAACAAAATCCGGACTGACTCAAAATTATTATCTCTGAGAAATATCGCAAACGTTATTGCGCAATACGTGCCGTAATTCTTCCCACGATATTTACCAAAACGATTAACACTACCTTATGAAGAATAAAGAACTAATACTGGGGTGGTTTTTATTCTAATTTTTTCAACAGACGGCGTAAATTCCGGAATAAATCATTCTTCGCTTGGGTTGGTAGACCGCGACTTTAGCCTTTCAATCCAGATTGGAAAGTGACCAAATAATAATAAAATAAATAAAATTAAATAAAAAGGTACGTTGCTTATTTGCAGCGAACTGTAACATTTCATATTAAAGATTTTGCAGAGAAGGGGAGACCTCCCAACCTTCGTACTGTATAGTATGGCCAAAAAAATGAATTATTTTGACTATTTTGATACTTTTTACGTTTCGAATATTATTCCTTGAAAGCTAATCTTGTAAAACACAACCATTTTTTGAGTTACTACTATACTTCACAGTTTCTGCAACTATGTTATTATAACATTCATACATATGCTCATAATATAAGCATAATGATCATAATACACGAATGAACTGACCAAGCAACGAGATGCAAATCTTTTTAGATCTTGATAGAATTCAAGCATGTGTATATTGGGGTGGAGGAAAGAATGCCGATGCACGAATTTCTACTGCTTTTCGCAATTCTTTGACCAATAGAAGACGGGCACCTGTCTTACTCTTCGTGCACACCATGGTTATGTTAATGCAGAAAAGGGGGAAAAGCTATTTCTGGTATGACTCCCATCTGACATTCCATATTAGACAGAAAAGCTGTTATTTAGTTTCGTGCTTTGTACCGGAAATACCGCTTTCATTAAAAAAAAAATAAAAAAAAAAAGCACTAAAGCAAAATAGCACTAAAAAAAAAAATAAGGGCTTAAAGAAAAGTAGCCCTATAGGGCCTTTATATTTTATTTTCAAATATAAGACTATAGCACTTATAAGTACACTACGAAGCCTGTGAATATATTGTTTGGGCTAAATCATTAAAAAATTTTTCATAAATTGTATAATAATTAAATAAAATGTTTTAAAAATCTCTGCCCATTTTCTTTTTTCACACTTCTCCCCCCTCCCAAAAAAGTATTCAGTAAACAATTTTTTGCTACTTTGGTTAATTAATACTCAGAATTTCAAAGCAGAAAAATATAAGACCCAGGAACAAGGCTGCTTGAGGCCTTGATTTACTTTGCTAATAGTTTGCTGCTGAATGAAAAATACATTTCCACGTTTTAATGTTACTCTTAGCTAAATATTACAATACAAACACATTTCGAAAAGAAAAAAAGACTTACCTAAATTAGATTACAAGTAAAGAATAAACAAAACACATTTCAGAAAAAGAAAGAAAAGACTTACTCTAAAATTAGAGGATTTACAAAAGTTATTGTACTGGCTCCGAACTTCAACATTGCAGCCCAAAAAAGTTCAAAGCCAAATGTCTTCACGATTGGCTTTAATATGCTAAGGTTAGAGATATCTGATCTATGATCACCTGGAGCAATGGTGATTTCAGTGTGACCATTCTTAGTTGTCTCAACGGAGGTCAATCTCGCCATTGAAACTTTTTCTTTAGAAGCACGACTGAAAGGTGTGTATACATATATATATATAAAAAGATGGTAATTAATCATAAAAGCCAAAGACAAAAATTTTAAATACATTTCCTTATGATTAATCAAATAATATCATCTGTTAGAGAAAATAGCTTTGTGCAGAATTTTCATATCTCTAAAATTTTAAACTTTACCATGATGATGATGAAATAAATAATTTTAGTTATATTACACTACCAGAAATTGATCTTAAATGTTTAAACAAAACTATACTTGTAGTAATAACATGAGTTATCTGAATATTCATAATAAAGGTTGTAATAGTGTTGCCTTTTCTAATAAAGAGTTTTTCTCTCATTGAAAACCATCAAATGAATTAACTGAAATTCCATTTTCCCCAAAAATTAACACTTGCATAATTAAATAAGCAATAAATAATAGTAAAATTTGCACTAATGTTTATTTTTCAAGATTACCATAATGAACTAAACATACTGAATGATTAAGCCAATATTAAAATTTCAGTATGTCTTCTTCATTTTTTAATTTTTTGAAAGCCTTCCCTTCCGACAAACCCCTCCTCCCAGATGCATATGAAAGGATAAGCTTAAAATTATTTTGGAGGTTTTTTACTTCAAGGATATCTGCTGTACATATATATATATAACCTCACCCTATTGCTTTTATTAAAAATAAAGAACAGTTTTATTTTAAAGTCTCTGCATAAGCATGACAAGGTGAAGCTTTCAGTCAATTCATTATCCTTTCTAAGCTTTCCAAATATACATCTGTATCCAATGTTCTAGTTCTAATTCATTCACAGTGAAGCTTCTTGCTGCAAACTCCTTTCAAAAATGACAACCCTTAAAAGGAATCAATATTTTTGAAAAGAGAACATAAATAAACATCCATATTGAAAACATTAAGATGACTGCTGCCTAACTTGATTGAGGTTAGGTTATTAGGTTATTTAATTACGGCAAAGCCTCGAGGGCTATCTGCCTAAGGGAAGGGATGCCTTCGTAGAGGACTTTCTAAGGAAAACTGGCTCATATAAACATTACACATGGGGAAAATAACAAAAATACCCATGCAGACAGCCCATTTGCAGGATTCGAACCTCGGATCAAACTACCAGTGTTCAGCGATTTTACCGCTCGGCCACTGGTGGGCTCTAACTTGATTGAGACCACTAAATGTATATTACAGTGAATACCAGACTATCTAACTTAACTATCAAACTAAAATATTTTATGCATTAAGCATAGGATAATCATATTTCAATGGAGCAGAAATGGTAATCTAGAAAGATTTAATTATGCTATTGAATGATGATAGAAAAAGCTTTATCGTAAGAGCTTTATTATTCAATAAGAAAGCCCACTTAAAAATTTAGGTACTGACAGATGAATAGCATTTGTCACAACTGTACAGGAAATATTTCTCTAATGAAGTCATCTTACATAGGAAATTTCAGCACTTTATTGTGAAATTTGACATAGTTAATTTTCACATGTAAAATGTTTTTCATAATCTAAACCCTGTGGAAAAAAAAACAAAACAAAAAAAAAAGAGAGAGACCATTCTGTATCTCTTTTCTACTGTCTGATTGACGATTCAACTTACATTTTTCAATTCTCAAAACGGACTAGAATATTTTAGATTATTTAAGCATGTCTAATATAGGTATTTGACACCAAACAACTTTTCTGAAATGGAATGCCATTTTTAAATTGTAGCTCCTCAATTTATTGAATTTGCAAATATTTGTAAATTCTTTTTTTATTAAACTTATTTCTTTCCTTTCCATTTCGAAATTTAGGTTCATTCCAAATAAATTCACGCCCATTTTTTATAATTATTTTAAATTTGTATTTTTAATATTTTAAAAACTTCCAAAAAAATTTGATTATAACTATAAAATGTTTAAACATCATCTTAAATATATCCTTCTAGCACACCGCTAAAAATAAGAGTTTTTTTATTCAGAATTTTCTAAGATATACATGAATTTACATTTTGGCGCATTTTGAAATTCGGCGTATTTGTTATAAGTGATAATAATGCCAAATGTGGTTTAAGCAGCTTGTTAAAATTATTTGAAAGTATGAAAACTGATTTTTTTCTGCTCGTTTGCATTGAAAAAAAAAAAAAAAAAGGAAAGGAAAATAGGTTGCTATAAATTAAGAAGTTCAACAAGTTAATTATTCTTGGCCCAAACTGAAAAAATACACAAAATTTTGAATTCATCTGCAAATTTCACACCAAATTTTATAAAATATAATTTTTAGGCATAATTTGAGTCGTAGAATCAAAATATGGAAAAAAATGGCATGTCATTTAAAAAAATGTCCAATTTTGTATCAAAATACCTAAATTAGAATACTGCTATATATAAATCTAATATATATCCTAAGTCGTGCTTTCAAGACATAAAAAATGCATTTTGAATTTCGTCAATCGGTCCAGAAGAACGGGAGACATAGAACTGTCCTTCCCCCCCCCAAGTCTACATTTCTTTCTTTAGGGGAGAAAATACTCTCAACAAATGATGAAACCCATCAGTAACTATATGGATAAGACAATAACAATTGACAGTTTTACTCAATTTCTACAAACAGACTGACTACATGAACGTTTTTATGATTTCATCTATATGCACATATTATCTGTACAGAGAGAAGACACTTTGCCTTGTAAGGGAAATCGTTCATGTATTTCCTTAAAAATAGAATACTTCAGGTAGAATTTAGAAAATAGTAGAAAATTAGATAGCAAAATTAAAAATTTTGGTACTTTTTGAGTATCTGCTTCGTGATTCACCACACTATGTGCTATGTCACCAAAACAAGCAAACCACGATGTCGCCCAAGTGTTTTTATGTAGCAACCTGAATATGCACACGTGCATGCAACAGACAGGTGGCATCAATAGTGTTTTTGTTGCAATAAGAACATTTTTATCTTGTAAGGAATTGTGATGTTACTGTAAATTTTGCCAGTTGATGAAAAAGATAGTGTTGCGTTTCTCCAGAAATATGTCATTTTGCCTAACAATAGAGGATGCAAAATTTCACATTCATGAAGTAAAATATCAAATATAGGTGATGCCAAATTTATGCAATTCCCTGATTTTTTTTAAGCAAAAAGAAATTGCCATGTAAATAAAAAAAACAGTACGTTCAATAGCAATTCTGATATTTCTTAAGCGAAAACAGATCACTGTGTACATGAAGAGAACAGCACTATGCACAGTGATAACTTGTTCTGTGATGCTGAGTTTCTGAAGTTCTCTCATGCTTTTTAAAGTTGCCTTTGTACATGGGGATAACAGCAGGGAAAAAAAGCAACTGTTTTATTATGGATGTTTCTAGCATTTTTAATTTTCTGAATTGGTTGCTGTTATGTAATTCTTAGTGTCTTAGAAATTGTTGATTAAGATGTCTGTAGTACAAAAAATAAAGTACAACAGATTGTTGATAGCAAAAGGGATGTTTGGTTTACTTTATGACTTTAAATTAATTTAGAAAATGTTAATTATTAACCAGAGAAAATCAAAGAAGCACATTTTCTTTCTTGAACATTGTTTGTTGGTTAAACATGTATTTTAATTCCCTTATAACTAAATAATAAGCAATTCCTATTTTTCAAACTGCTAAACAAATCTACAATTCAGCTTATTCTGCCCACCCCCCTTTACCCATACTGTACAGTTT